CAGCAAGTGTCAAGCAACCTCACTGTCCACATGGGCGGACTGAGGCCCAAGCCCCATGTTAGAGAAGCCCTGCAGTGCAGGCCTTGACCTGGGAGCAGCATGGGGCCTAGATGTGGGTTATCAAGCTTTTGAGGGGCAGGAAACCCAAGTTCAGAGCTTTGATTGGCCCTCAGACACAGCTGGCTGCTGCAGGGCCCACACTCCTGGCCCTTTCCCAGCCCACCTCCCTCAGTGCCCACACCATTAGAACCCGGGCCCTTGTTCCAAAAGAGACCGTATGTTCCAAAAGGGACTGTTTGAGGGGCATCCCACTCACATCGCCCCTGGTGCTGGCTGTGGGGTCAGTCTCCCCCCAAGTGGGCATGAAGGACACATCATCATCCACCATCAGGTCCAGGAACCAAGGGTCACCGAAAAGTTCGTCCATACCACTGAGCAAAAGAGCACCCAGGAGCGCTGGCAGCCTCCATGGGTTCAGCTCTGGTGCCCCCATCTGGCCTGGGTGTTCCCCTCATCTCAGAACAGCTGTGTTCTTCGAGACCACCTCCCAGCCACCATAGAGCTGCCCTTGTTCCTGTGTCTCAGGGACAGTCACACACCCATAGTCACAGACTGTCAATGGTACAGCAGGCCGACTGACCCCAGAAACACATTTCTTTCATCGATCTATTATGAAGACATTTCCAGACTAAAGTGGGAAGAACCTACACCAAACCCTGAAGTGCCACCTCCCGGCTCCTGGGATAGCCCCATCCCAATACCGATTTCATCTGGAAATATTTTGGGTTGCTTCTCTAAAAACACTTTTTTAGATGGGGAGGGAAAATCTTGTTTATTTTCATTTATTGGTTGTCTCATTTTTTTTTAAATAAACACTGTATTTTAGAATAATTTTAGATTTTCTGAAATGCTGAAAAGATAGCCCCCAAGTTCCTACACCCACATCCAGCTGTCCCCAATGTTAACATCTCACATAACCACGGCACACTTGTCACAACTAAGACTTATGAAACCCATCCAAGAAGAACTTTTAAAAACAACCACAACACCTAAAAATAGTCAACAGTTGTTCCTGAGGAAGCTTCTCATAGTTAGTGGGTTTCCTCCATCTCTGCCTCCGGCCCATCAGCCTCCTCCCATTAGGGCATAATCATAAACACTCCAGACTTGACCATGATGCTGGGAGGTGAGTAGCTGCTTACCTAGGCCAAGAGGTGACTCAGTGAAGTACATCTGGTCAAGCGGCACCCTCTCCACACTGCAGACCCTAGCCCACCCAACCAACCTGGTCCAGGATGAGGAAGATCCATATGGCAGCATGAGGACCATTTCTGTCTCATCAGAACCCTTAGCAGACATCACTAAACAATCACTAATTGCCAGAGCAACCTTAGAATCCCTGGCAGCCAGCAGCCACTACCAAATGATCCATGGCCTGCTCGCCTGTCACTGAGTGCAAGGTAGACCCCAGAGGTACTCCTGTGCCTAGCTCAGGGCTTGGTCATGATATGGGTAAGGCCCCATTTTGTTCTCACAGCATGCGTGCTGCTATAGCCTGGCCCTGACCTCACACCAGCTCTGCACAGGATTTATGTCCATTTGGGGAAACAGGCTCACGGAGGCCCACATTTTCAACCCTAGAAAGTGGCAATCAGGGTTTAAACCTGAATTTCTCCAACTTGGACAACCCTACCTCCCAGACCACCACTCATGTCTAAGCCTCAGTTTCTCCACCTACCCCCAGAGGAGTCCTCCCAACCCCAGTGTCCTGGCTCCTCCTCATGTGCCCCTGTAGTTCAGGTAGTGTGTCCACTCCAAGGGAGAAGGTGGCTGTACTAGGTGAAGGTAGCCATCTGCCCGACTTGCTAGGTGTGTTTAGTCAGGAGGCCCTAGTCTGGAGGGAGGAGAGCTGGGCTCAGATGCCAGTAGCCCAAAGAGTCAGGCTGGGGAAAGGGGAAGGCACTGTGTCTGAGGGACCTCAGAAGGGACACTGAAGGCTTCCTGGAGGAGGGCTGCTGGGCAGAGGAGGGTGGAGCCTGCCTTGCAGGGGAAAAGACAGCAGGTTCGCCCAGGGCAGGGGTCACAGCAGGACTGAATGCAAGCCCAGTAACTGGACTCTCACCAAGGGCAGTGGGGAACCATACAGGGTGAGTGAGCTGGGCAGGGGCATGAGCTGAGTGTCAAGGAGACCCCTCAGGCAGATTGAAGGCACCGCACTCATCCAGCTGCCCCAAGGTCCACTCAGTGTTTCTTAAGCTGCCCCCAACCCCACCCCCAGTTCTTCCTGCTGTGTCCAAATCTAAGAATAGATGCTCCCTGCCTGGCCCCCACGGGAAACCACAGCCACAAGGGGGACATCCTGAGCTTAGCCTCTGTTCCCACCATATGCTGCCCCCCCCACCCCAGCCATCTCAATATCTCCGAAGCCTCCTGTGTGCCCATTGAGCTAGGAGGGGGTAAACAGAGGCCTGAAGATCTCCAGCCACCAACCTAGGAGGTGGAGGAAGCCCAGAGTTGACGTTCAAATTCCACCCACATGTGCCCTTGGCCATGTCATTTCCTCCCTCTAGGCCTCAGTTTCCCCATTTATAAAATGAGCATCTTTACCTCCTGCATTGCAGAGCTGCAGTGAGACCTAGACCAGACTAAATGCGAGTTAAGTGCGTATCTCTGACCCCTGCTCTGGCTGTTTCCCAGAAGGAGCACCGTCCTTATCTCCAGGCAGAGGAAGTGGGAATGGAACAGTTTCCCTCCATCTCTTCCCCCACCATCTGGAGCTCCAGCCCCACATCCTCTTCCCACCGCATCTGCCCTCACTGCAGGTTCCCAAAGCCTCATGCTCTCTCTTGCCTCCAAAGTCTTGCACATGTGATTTCTGCCATGTCTCTTGCACCTGGAAACTTCCTACTCATCCCACAAAGCCCGAGTTATCATGCTTTCTCCAAGACTCAGGATGCCTTCCTGGCTCACCTCCTGGGCTTCTCTATGCCCCATTACTTCCTCTGGTTGTGACTGCAGAGGGTTAGGACTGTTTGTGTCTACCTCTGTCTTTCTCCAGCCTGGAGGGTCCTTGAGAGCAGGTCTTGTTTCCAGTCCTACCTGAGGTTCATAATTGTCCCACCACATAGGCTGGACACAGAGTTGCCCTTGAAGAGAGATTAAAGTGGAGGGGAAAAAAAAAAAAAGGCGGGGAGCAAGACTGCCTGGGAGATCAAGGCCTTACAGAAGAGGAGGCCTTGGAGCCAGGGCTCTGTCAGATGCATAGGACTTGGGAGACTCCTTGCCAATCAAGAGAAGTTGGGGTTGGCCCTGGTTGGTGTGGCTCAGTTGGTTGAGGCATCATCCCATGCACCAAAAGGTCCTGGTTCAATTCTCAGGGCACATACCCAGGTTTTGGGTTCAATCCCTGGTCAGGGTGTATGCAGGAGGCAACGGATTGATGTTTCTCTCTCTCCCTTCCTCTCTAGAATCAAAACATTTATTTTTTTAATTTTTTTATTTTTTAAATATATCTTTATTGATTTCAGAGAGAGGAAAGGAGAGAGAGAGAGAAATAGAAACATCAATGATGAGAGAGTCATTGATCGAGCCCGCAACTGGGCACGTGCCCTGACCGGGAATCGAACCCCGATCGCCTGGATCCTAGGTCAACGCTCAACTGCTGAGCCACGCCCGGCGGGGCTCAAAACATTTTTTTTAAAAGAGAGAGAGAAGTTAGAGTTAAATGGCTCAGTAACGCAGGCAATGGGATGGAACAGGGGAGGGGCCATCTGGAACGATGGGGGTGTGAGGTCAAGGCCTGGAGACCGGAAAGATGGTGGGCGGGGAAGCCAGAGAAGGGGCTTCTAGACAGAGCCTAGGGAAGTCCAGGGCTAGAGTTCATCTTCACTCAGAACCTGCACTTGTGTGCCCCTCCCAAGCCCCCAAGGACTAGGCAGGGTGGGCTCAAGGCCAAGCTAGCTAGTCATGGGCTGCTATAGGCCCTAACTCTGGGTCAACAAGGTCCAAGGTCACCCCTCCATGCCCAGGCCCCTGGACCCTCTCCACCCACCTGAGGCCCCAGGACTGTGGGCAGGAAGGGTCTTCAAGAAACTTCTCACTTTCCTGCATCACGGTCCAGCCACCATGCCTTTGCTCTAGCTGTGCCCAGCCTGGTTCACTTGGGGCTGATGAGACCCTAGTCCAGATTCCCAAGTGTATCTGGGGACTTTCAAGGAAGTCAGTCTTGCCTGGGAAGCCTATTCCGGAGCCCTGTTCCTGCTCCCTGGCCTCAACTTCTAAATCATTCCTGCAGTGACAGACTCCAGGCTTTCCCCACCCAGCACTGGAGGGAGGGAAGGAAGCAACCTCCCCGCCCCCATAGCAGGCTTTCCCACCCCTGGCCTCAGTGCCAACTCCCAGCCTTTGTCTCACTGACCCCGCCCCAGAAATTCCCTCACCCTCAGTCTCCCACAGCCCTCTCAGCTCACCTGCTCCAGGAAGGCCTGTCTCAGAAGGCTGCTCACCAAGCTTCTGGCTGGAGTGTTTAGAGGTCGCCTCTCCCCTCTAAACACCCTGCACCCCTAACCCCCACCCTTGGAAGGGGCCTCAGACTTACCTACTGTGTGCCGGACCCAACCCCATCGGGTTCACCAGCTCACAGCCCTGGGACCCTGGCTGAGGGTCTGGGCACCCTCTGGAACTCACCCTGCCATGACCAAAACGTTCCCTGCCCCCTCTTGGCCTCGGGTGCTGCCCAGACGGTGAATAATGCCAAAGGAGCTCCTGGGGGGGGCCCAGCTGGGGCTGGCCGGTGGTGGGGCTCTCTGATGGTGCTGGCCACACTGCCTACTACACTCCGGCCCTGTGGCCTGGTGTGCTTCTGGTGTCCCTCCCCCAGGATGCTGCGCAGTCTCCCGGGCAGGTTGGGGGGCGCCCCCCGACCCCCATCAGCCAGGCCCAGGCCTGAGGGGTGTGGCCACTGCAGGGGGGTGGGGCTGGCGAGAGACAAACCGAAAGACTGAGAGACCGCAAGAGCCAAGGATACAGACAGGATGCTGTCTGCAGAGCGCAGACCCACCCCTCCAGCCCGGAAGGGGACTTAGCCCCTCCTGCCTCCCGGGACCACGCGCACCGGGGCCTCCTGTGCTGCTGGCAACGTGGTAGCCCCCAGGTCCTCTGTGGGCCCGCTCTTGCAGTGCCTCGGTTTCCCAGGAGCCCCGGGAGGCCAGGTCGCCCTGCTCCGTCCACCCCCCTCGACCCTGGGCCCGGACTAGCGCCCTCACGTCAGCCAGGCTCTGGCTCCAGGACAGCACAGTGGCCCTAGCTGTCCCATCCATTGAGCATCGCCAGGTGAGGACGCAGTGGCCAGTTAGGGGCGGGCCTGAGAGTGGGCAGGCGTTGCTGGGGTGTTTCCTGCAGTGACCTGCTCTGCGTGTGTCACCCTGAGCTGTGACAGCAGCCAGGTGCTGGGCGTGCTGGGGCATTGGGGAGACCAGGCCTGTACCTGCAGAGTGGTGCTGCACTTACGCTGCTGCCCTGGTCAGTGTGTGGCCGTGTGTAGTCCAGGATGTGCTTGTGTGTGGGTTTCCCGGAGTCTGTGTGCGGCCACTCAGGATCCTGTGGTGCCCTGGGAGGGTGCGGCTGGGAGCGAGGGTGTGTGTGTGAGCATGCAATGATGGGTTCATATGATCACAGTAACGTTTGTGTCCATCATTAACCACTGGCTAGGTGGCCTGGGTCCCCTCCCCTCATCTCATAGCCACCCACTCTTGCAGCCCTCCTGGTAGCCCTGAGTGGTGAGCGCTTCAAGGGCACCTATTAAACAGATAAGAAACTGAGGCTGAGGGACCATGTGAGTCTGGGCTGAGGTTCTGCTTCAACCTAGTCAGGCTGACTATGGAGCCCTAGCTCTGCACCCTCTGGGGTGGGGGCCAATTAGTGTCACAAACAGGAAAAGTTCCCGGAAGCTGAGCCTGTGGTGAGGGGAGGTGGGGATGGGCCTCGAAACCGATGGTGGCTCTGCTTTTATGTGGGTATGTATGTATGGGTGTCTGTGACCGTACAGGGGTGTGGAGGGGTCCCCTATAGGCAGTTGGGTATACTTCAGGCCTGGGCTGGAACTGACTGATGCAAGAACTGGCCTGGACCCTGCACTCTCATGCCAAAGGGCGTCATCGTTGGTCCCCTGGACTGCCCAGCAGTTAGAGGACAAAAAATGTGGGAAACAGGCCGAGGGACAGAGCCAGTGGAGGTCACGCACAGTATCAAGGCTCCTGCCTGGCTGCCCCTGTGCACCTGGCCAGTAGATACTCTGTGACACACAGGGCATATCTCCTGGCCACATGCAGGAAAGGCACACAAGGCAGGGGATGCAACTGAAGCAAAGGCCCCTTGGCAGGAGCAAAGCAGGTCTGTGAAAAGAAGCCAGAATGCCAGCAGGCAAGTTGGTGTCCTTGTTATTTCCATTTCACAGAGGGGGGAAAATGAAGCTCGGCAACATTGAGCCCCCAGCTTGGCAGTAGCAGGTCAGAGACTTCAATCCGAGCTCGTCTGAGGCCAGCATCTCCCCTGGGGGAGGCTGGGGAGGCCCAGGGTGTGGAGACAGGCAGGCCAGACAGGCCAGGGTGTGGGATGTTGAGTGGAAGAGGCACTTTTTGAGAGATGGATGGCTCGGTGGAGTAGGGAGAAGGAGAGTGGGGCAGGCAATGACGGGTGATCAGGCAGAGGCAGGACCTGGCACTTGGGAACCAAAAAAATTACATTCTGCTGGGCAGTGGAGGAGCCCTGCCTGTTGTCCAGCCTCTAGTAAGGAGCCAGTTGCTGAGACAGAGATTTCTGGAACCCAGGATCCAGCCAAACTCCCTTCAGAGTTCTGGAACTTCAGCACCTTGGAATTCTAGGCTCTGGAGGCCTTCCAGGTTCCAGAACTGGGAGCGTATTTAAATTCCAGAACCCTGGACCTTCAAAGTCTAAACCTCCCCACTCTTGGGCCATGGAATCCTGTATTTGTCCAGCAAATCTGGGTTAGGAATCTGGAGCCCATGCTTCCCGTGACACAGAGAGGGAGATGGGTTCCCCCAAGGGCCACATAGTGCTACTTCTGGACCTGGGGCTGGGATGAGAAAGATCCCTTGTAGGTTAGGGGCCCTGCCAGCTCTCTTGGCCAATGTGGGAGGGGAAGGGAGGCCTTGCCAGGTGCCTCTACTGGCCTGCTTGCCTGAGAAACTTGAGACCACAGCTATCACCTGAACCCATGGGAGGGGGGACTGGAAACCACAGGCTGTGGCCAGAGGGAGTCATGCCAGTTTCCAGTCTCCCCCAGGCCACAGGCTCTAGGTCACAGGTTTGTTCCCAGACATGGGAGATATGAGGATATCTCAGGGGTGTGCATCGGGGTGAGTGAGTGGTGCAGGAGCTCCCACAGGAAGATGGGGAGAGGGGGACCATGAGACCCAAGAGGGACTGGCAGTCATTTCAGGCAGAGGCCAGGGCAATGACTGCAGGCGCAGCCCAAGTCCCCAGGAATGTTCAGAATCGGCGCATACCAGCTCCCAAGGGAGGGCGTGACTCCTCTGAGGAGGAATTCAAGTTTAAGTCAAATCTGAAGTGGCAAAGAGCACACCCCTGGCCCAGAGTGGAGGACTAAGGTCCCTGGTCACCATGGAAAGCACCCCCTTTACCCTCCCCACCTCCCCAGGCTTTAGTTTCCCCACTTGAGGCCCCACCACACCAAAGTGGTGGTGGCCTTGGCACTCAGCCTGGGAGGGAAGCTCAGGGCAGCTGTCAGGAGCTGGATAATTTATGAGACTAGATAAGGAGCCGTGGAGTCTGAGGGGCTGGGCCAAGGCGCCAATTATGGAGATGGGAAGTGAGGGCTGGTGGCCACCTGCTGGGCACATTCACAAAAATTGAGCACCTACAATGTGCTAAGCCCTGTACCCAGATGGACTCATTCCCACAATGAAGGGAAACAGGCTCAGAGTGGGGACATGAGGAGCCCAAGGTCAGTGAGAGGGTATGTGGCAAAGGCAGTATTTAAATCTGGTCTGATCAACTTTTTAGAAAATGTTATCCTTCCTTAGAGAAAATTCCAATGATCGTGAACCCCCACACCCACCTGGCACCAGCCTCCATCCAATGGGCAGAATTTTGAATCACTAACACACATTATATGTAGTGAAGCCCAAGGAGGTTTTTTGGTTGTTTTTTTTGGTTGTTTGTTTTAATCCTCACCCAAGGATATTTTTTCCATTGCTTTTCAGACAGAGTGGAAGACAGAGAGAGAGAGAGAGAGAGAAACATCAATGTGAGTGAGACGCATCGATTGGTTGCCTCCTGCACACGCCAGGGCTGGGATAGAGGTACATGCCCTTGGCCAAAATCGAACCCGGGGCCCTTCAGTCCGCAGGCCGACTCTCCAACCACTGAGCCAAACTGGCCAGGGCTGAAGCCTAAGTTTAGTTTAGTTTATTTTTTAAATATATCTTTATTGATTTCAGAGAGAGGAAAGGAGAAGGAGAGAGAGAGATAGAAACATAAATGATGAGAGAGTCATTGATCAAGCCTTCACCTGGGCATGCGCCCTGACCGGGAATCGAACCCCGATCACCTGGATCCTAGGTTGACGCTCAACTGCTGAGCCACGCCCATCTGGGCTGAAGCCTAAGTTTAAATTTCAGATCAGCTTGGGCTGGGCTGTGTGACCTTAAACAAGTTAGTTAACCTCTCTGTGCCTCAGTTTGCCCCATCTGCAAAAAGCAGAGGAGCTTTATGGGCTTTAATTGCCTGGTTCCTCCATCCCGGTTCCTCCCACGGTCCCACCTCCCCACCTTTGCCCACTCTGATCCCTCCACCGGGTGTGTCCTCACTGCCAACACAAGGATGACTTGTTACCGGTATGTGCCTAGTGCAGAAGGCTGGGGACCTGGGTGCTAGCCCCAGCTCCCTGAGTGGCTTCATATCTTCCTTGGTGTATCCCTTTTGGGAACTGGGAGCTATTTTCTGAGTGTTCTCATTTTATTGCTACTTGGCGTCACCACATCTGGCTGATTTATTCACACTTGCATCAGCCAAGCCCAGATGTTTCTCTGGTTTTCTCCCCCAGCCCTGTGGTGGGTAATGGGTCCCTTCCGCTGCCTTTTATAGCCCGTCCCTGGGGAAACCTGTCGTTCCAAATGAGCTTATTTTTTGTTCCCAGAATGGAACTGGATTTCTGGGTTTATTTCTTATTATAAAAGCAATGCTATGAAATGGGGAGGCGGAGGGGGGGAGGGGGAAGAACCCACATGATTTTAAAAGATTAAGAGATAAAAAAATAATCCACACACTTTCAACATGTGTGAGGAAGGATCTCCTTAAAATACTAGTGGGCTGGGGCCACACCCTCATGCATTCACAAGAAACTGTGACTCAGGAGGCTGACCTCAGGGCTGGTACTAAGGCCAGTGACCTCTGGTGGACAACTAGCCTCCCTCTCCACACTGGATACATTCTGTCTTGCTGTGGCTGAAATCTGTCCTGGATGCTGCAGTTCACCAAGGGCTTGGATGGGAGACTAGCAGGGAGGCAGAAGCTCAGAGAGAAGGAATCACTTGCTTGGGGTCATGCAATAGGCACCAGGGCTGGAGTTCAAACCTGGGGTTTCTTGGCCCTTCTCTTCAACCCAACAGATACTAATTGGTGTCCTCCAGGGCTCCCAGAGGAGACAGCATTGGTCCTCACCCTTGATAATCATTGATTCTGAGGCAGGACAGAGCTGGAGGTAGTAGTAATAGTAAAACCTATGAGTGCAGAGTGAGATAAGTCAGGTAAGGCATCCTTAAGGAGGGGTTATTTGAGTTGGGGCATTGAAGGTTGTAAAGGAGTTCACCAGGGCCACTCAGATTAAAATGCAGAATGACTCATGAGCAAATCATCTCTCTGCCCCCACCAGGTGTGCCAGGGCCAGTGCCAGCCTGCCCCACCTACAGCCTCAGCCCAATGGGGTGGTGACCCTCCCGACTCTGCTCCACCGCCATGTGGCCCAATGGCAGTTCTCTGGGCCCCTGTTTTCGGCCAACAAACATCACGCTAGAGGAGCGGCGCCTGATTGCCTCTCCCTGGTTTGCTGCCTCCTTCTGCCTGGTGGGCCTGACCTCCAACCTGGTGGCCCTGAGCGTGCTGGCAGGCGCGAGGCAGAGCAGCTCGCACGCCAGGTCCTCCTTCCTCACCTTCCTCTGTGGCCTGGTCCTCACCGACTTCACGGGGCTGCTGATCACCGGTACCATCGTGGTGTCCCAACATGCCATCCTCTTTGACTGGCACGCCGTGGACCCCAGCTGTCGCCTCTGCCGCTTCATGGGTGTTGTCATGGTCTTCTTTGGTCTGTGCCCGCTGCTGCTGGGAGCTGCCATGGCCTCGGAGCGCTACCTGGGTATTACACGGCCCTTCTCGCGCCCCGCGTTCGCGTCGCAGCGCCGCGCCTGGACCATCGTGGGGCTGGTGTGGGCCGCTGCCCTGGCACTGGGCCTGCTGCCCCTGCTGGGCGTGGGCCGCTACACGGTGCAGTACCCGGGCTCCTGGTGCTTCCTCACGCTGGGCCCCGAGCGCGGAGACGTGGCCTTTGGCCTGCTGTTCGCGCTGCTCGGCAGCTTCTCGGTGGCGCTCTCCTTCCTGCTCAACACCATCAGCGTGGCCACGCTGTGCCGCGTCTACCACGGGCAGGAGGCCGCGCAGCAGCGCCCCCGGGACTGTGAGCTCGAGATGATGGCTCAGCTCGTGGGCATCATGGTGGTGGCCAGTGTCTGCTGGATGCCGCTGCTGGTGAGTGGCCGGAGCAGGGCCCGCCCTGGGTTCCCACCGTCCTTGGTGACTGGGCCTCAGTTCATCCAGAATGAATTTCAGGTTCTCACCGCCTGAGAAAATGTGGGCACATGTCCCAGTGTGCAGGTGTCCTTCCTTGGGGAGCTCATGAGCAAGATACAGAAACCCCAAACCAGGGCATGGCTGGGTGTCTTGTCCACTGCAGTGTCCCCAGCCTTACCCAGCACACAATAGTGCTCAGGAAACTGTTTTAATAGAAATTTTATAATAGAATTTTAACATAATTTGTTTATTACAATATGAATTATAATTTTATATTATATAATTATACATAAAAATTTTAATTATATAATATATAGTTATATATATAACTATGTACTATAATTATATTAATTATTAGATAATATATTGCATTACAATTGTAAATAACATATTATAATTAAAAGTAAAATTCAATATTTAATGAACTATATTAAAATAATTTCATCTAAGAATTTAATATAAAATTATTAATATACATTTATTTGTCATAAAATTTTATAAAATATAAATGTTAATATTATATAAAATTCTTTAAAATACAATATATAATATAAAATAACTTATTTTATATACAATTTTATACTATAGTTTTATTATATTATGAAATGTTTATAAAATATAAAATATTTAATAGAATAACAATGCTGGTGTAACAGTAATTCCAACTGCTTGCACCTGCAAGTCTTCTTTTCCACCACATTTAATTGTGGTGGAAAAGGAGAGGAGCAGGAAAAGAGTGCTATTTTGTGGTCACATCAGCTGAAGCTCAGAGAAGTCAGGCAGCTTTCCCAAGGTCACACAGCAAAGCAGTGACAGATTCAGTACTTGATCTCAGGGGACTGCAGGTGCTAGTGGAGGGGCAGGGCTGGAGTCTGGTTTGATTCCTGGCTAACTGCTCTGGCCTTTGACAGGTCTTCATTGCTCAGACAGTCCTGCAGAGCCCACCAGCCATGAACTCAACTGGGCAGCTGTCCCGAGCCATGGAGCAACAGCTGCTCATTTACCTGCGCGTGGCCACTTGGAACCAGATCCTGGACCCCTGGGTGTACATCCTGTTCCGCCGGGCTGTGATCCGGCGCCTCCACCCTGGCCTCAGTGTCCGGTCCAGATCGCTCTCCCTGCAGCCCCAGCTCACCCGGAGGCCCACCATGGCATAGGGCAGGGGTAGACATCAGTGTCGGCTCTGGAATGACAGCCACACATCCAACCTCAGTCCAGAATGGACAGTCACATCTGCCCATTCTGAAGTCCAGGAGCTGAGAGTGCAGGACGAACAGAGTTTGAGTGACAGGATTGTGAGCTGTCTTCCATCAGCTGTGGGGACCTCCCAACTCTCCCCTGATACCCCTTCCCAAGGCCTCTCTCTTCTCTCAGCCCCCTCCCAACCCCAGGATGGGTGAGTGGGAGTGTAGGGAGGGTGACTGGAGGCAGTTATACTTGTAAACCTTGCCCTGGCCACTGTCGCTCGGTGGTTAGTGCATCGGCCTGCACATTGAAGGGCTGCAGGTTTGATTCCTGGTCAAGGGCACATACAGTGGTCCCTCAGTTTTCTAATGTAATCCGTCCTGGAAGACCGTGCGAGTTCTGAAACGTTTGAAAACCAAGGGATCAACAGCCAACAGCTAGGCCTCAGGATCTTGCATTCAGCGGAAGCCATGTGGCATGTTCGACTTCCGAGGCGTGTTCGAAAACCGAAGCATTTCCTTCTGGGTTTACAGCGTTCCTAAACAGAAATGTTCATCAACAGAGACGTTCAAAAACCGAGGCACCGCTGTACCTGAGTTGCAGGTTCAATCCCTGGCCACGGTCAGACATGTGCAGGAGGCAGCCACTTGATGTGTCTCTCTCACATCAATGTTTCTTTCTCCCTCCCTCCCTTCCATTCTCTCTAAAAATCAATGAAAAAAATATCCTCAGGTGAAGACTAACAAAGAAACTTGTAAGCCTCCCCTTCCAGAAGTCCTGAGGAAATTAGGGATTCTGACCACTGACTATTACCTATTCTCTGGATACAGCTGATTCCCTTTGACACCCCAACCTGAGAAGGCTCTGTCTAGAAAAGACTGAATATAAATGGTCAGGACAACTCCTCTCTTGCCAAAATATATCTCAGCCCCATTGTATTTTCCTTTGAGTCTGGAAGTCAGTCTTCATTTGTTGAAGTTTGGTGCATTAGATTGTTATCCAACCATGTGGCAGCTGAGAACAGGACAGGTGAAGGGCAGAGAGGATGAGACTGGGTTTTGGCTCCTCTCCCCACCTCCTTTATTGAGTCAGATCTCCTGGAATCCTCCCTACAGCCTCTAGAAAGGGTTCTGGAATTAAACCAATTTTGCCCATGAGGAAAAGAGAGGGAGAGACACACACAAGACCATGGAGTGACACCCGCTTCCTCTCTTCAAGATGGAGCCATTCTCTCATAAACTTATCCTTTAATTGTTCATCCACTTAACACTCAGACTCCCAGTGTCTTGAACAAACAGCACCTGGTCCATAGTAGGTGCTCAAAAAAGACTGATTGAATGAACGAATGACAAATTTTAAGGAGTGTCGTGTATGTGCAAGTTCATGAACCCATGCACAGTGAGTACTTATAAAGCACCTGGCACATAGTAGGTGCTTAAAAAGCAGCCAGTGTTGTCATAGCCCCCCAGACCTTCATGCTTGCCCCTTCCTCTGCTCTCCCCCACAATCCCTCATAAAAAACACACTTGGCTGCAGGGGTGGGATGTGCCTTTATTCCCCATGAGCCCTCGAAGTACATGAAGAGCAAATCATCCCCTGCCCCCCTCCTTCCCCTCCACAGACCTGGGATCTGCTTACATCTCCCAGAGTCAGGCCCAATGAAACTGAAGCCCGTTTCCATTCTCCTTCCCCGACCTGTGGGGGAATGAGGTCACCTGCTGCTCCTGGGGGACCAGAGCTGGGAGGGGAAGGAGAAGGATGCAGCCCACCAAGGGCCAAAACTATGTCACCTCCAAGCTACAACTCCCTGTGGTGGGGGAGGGGCTCTCACCCTTGCAGAGCAGTTCCTGACTCCCTGAGCATGGGGGAGGGGGCAGGCTCCTGAACTGGGGGTTTAGAGAGCTGGGACTGCAGGAGGGCCACCCTGGAGGCAGAACTAGGGACGACAGATATGGTAGGTGGAGTGGGTTTATGGGGTCCCACCTGGGGCTTAGGGAAAAGGGCTGGTTTCTGGGGACCCAAGGGGGCCTGTGGCTGTGAGGTCAGGTGGGAAGTTGGTAGGCTTCTGCCCAGGCCAGTATTGACCTGGGTTCCATGTACCATATCATGGGGCTGGGGTTGAGGCTGAGAGACCTTGCTAGGGGCCAGAGTTGGGGCTCTTGGCGGTGGGCCTGCGGGCTGAGGTTGGGCTGGAGGAGTGGGATCAGGCTGGGTTCTAGGGTCAAGGCCAGGGGTCTGTGGACGAAGCTCATTTCTAGAACTGAGCTGGATTCTTAAGCTGGTCTGGGTTCTGGAGCTGGATTGGGTTTCAGAAACAGGCTGGGTTCTGGAACTATGGTGGATTCCAGAGCAAGGCTTAGTTCTTATACTGGTCTGGATTTCAGAATTGGACTGGGTGTCCGAGCTTAACTGAACCCTAGAGCTGGGCTGGGTTCTGGAACTGAGCTGGGCTCCCGAGCTGGGTTGAATTCTTGCACTGGTCTGGGTTCCAGACCTGGGCTGGGTGTCTGAGCTGAGCTGGGTCTCAGATCTGAGCTGGGTTCCAAAACTGGCCTGGGTTCTGGAACTGGTTTGAGTTCCATAAAAAGGCTGGGCTCTGGAACTGAGGTGGGTTCCAGAGCTGGACTGTATTCTTGAACTGGTCTGAGTTTCAGAGCTGGGTTGACTCTCTGAGCTGAATTGAATCCTAGAGCTGGGCTGGATTCTGGAACTGAGCTGGGCTCCTGAACTGGGCTGAATTTTTATACTGGTCTGGGTTCCAGACCTGGGCTGGGTGTCTGAGCTGAGCTGGGTCTCAGGTCTGAGCTGGGTTCCAAAACTGGCCTGGGTTCTGGAACTGGTTTGGGTTCCATAAACAGGCTGGGTTCTGGAACTGAGGTGGGTTCCAGAGCTGGGCTGTATTTTTGAACTGGTGTGAGTTTCAGAGCTGGGTTGAGTTTCAGAGCTGAACTGAATCCTAGAGCTGGGCTGGGTTCTAGAGCTGAGCTGAGTCTCAGAGCTAAGCCGGGTTTCAGAGCTGGACTGAGTTCTGGAGCTAAGGTGGGCTTCAGAGCTGGGCTGCATTCTGGAACTGGTCTGGATTCCAGAGCTGGGCTGGATCTCAGAGCTAAACTGAATCCTGGTACTAAACTGGGTTCTGGAGCTGATCTGGGGTTCAGAGCTGAGCCAAGTCTCAGAGCTAGACTGGGTTCTAGAGCTGAGCTGGGTTCCAGAGCTGGGTTGAATTCTTGTACTGGTCTGGGCCCCAGAACTGGCCTGGGTTTCAGAGCCAAGCTGTGTTCCAGAACTTGTTTGGGTTCTGAAACCGGGTTGAGTTCCAGAAACAGGCTGAGTTCTAGAACTAAAGTGAGTTCCAGAGCTGGGGTGTATTGAACTGGTGTGGGTTTCAGAGTTGAGTTGAGTCTCAGAGCTGAACTGGACTTTAGAGCTGAGCTGAGCTGCAGAGCTTATCTGCTTCGCAAAGTCTGGCTCAATACCAGAGCTGCCTTGGGTTGTGGCCTGTGGGGTTTCCAAGATGAGCTGAGTTCCAGAAGTTGATTGAGCTGGGCTGGACTGGGTCATGGAGCTGGGCCTGCTCTTGGAGCTAGACAGAGTTGTAGAGCTTAAGTCTGTTGCTGCATTGGTCTTGGTTCCAGAACTAGATTGGATTCCAGAGTTTAGCTGGATTCTGGAACTCAACTGGGTATCAGCAACTGACTGTGTTTTGGAGCTGGATGAGGTTTTAGAGCCAGTCTGTGCCCCAGAACTGAGCTGAGTTCTAGAGTTGGGTTGGGTGCCTGATCTGGATTGAGATCTGGAAATTGGCCAGTCCTTGAAGTTGGTCTGGGTCACAGAAGTGGATGGCGTTCTAGAACTGGTCTGTGTACTGCAGTGAGAGTGGGGCTCAGCATCAAGCTGAGCTGTGGAGACAGGCCTTACCTCAGAGATGTATGAAGTTCCAGGGCTTGTCTGAATTCCAGAGATGGGCCTGGTTGTAGCACTAGGCTGGGATCTAGAGCTGGGCTCAGTTTCTGAACTGGACTCACCACTGGAGCTGGACTGGGCCCCAGAATGAGGGTGGGTACTAGAGTGAAACTGGGTTTTAGAGCAGGGTTGGGTTCTGGATCTGGGCTGAGCTGCCATATGCATGTGGGTTCCTGAGCTGGTCTGGGTTCTTGAATAGGGTTGAGTTTGGGAGCTGTCTTTGAATCCTAAGCTGGAGAGGCTTCTGTAGCTGGGCTGCTTCTTGACTCTCACCTGGGCTTCAGAACTAACTGGTGTTCCTGAGCTAGACTGGGTCTCCAGGTCTGGCTGTGTCATGGAGCTGTCTTGAGTTCCAGAGTCAGGTTGAGTTTTATGGCAGGGCTTGGTCATAGAACTGGGCTGGCTTCTGAAACTGGCATTGATAACAGAACTGGGCTGGGTCTTAAAACTTGTCTGGGTTCCAGAACTTGACTTAATGCCAGAGCTCAGTTTGACCTCAGAGCTGTCCTGGGTTCTAGAGGAGGGCTGGGTTTTGGAACTGGGCTGGGTTCTGGAGCTAGGTTGAGTCTCAGAACTGGATTGTCGTCTAGAGATCAACTTAGCTTCAGAGCTCACCTGGGGTCTAGAACAGAGCTTGGTCTCAGAGCTGGGCTTGGTCTCAAAACTGAGCTTGGCTCTAGAGCTGGGTTTGGTCTCAGAGCTGGGTTTAGTTTCAGAACTGGTATGGGCTCTAGAATTAAATTTGGTCTCAGAGCTTGCCTGGGTTCTAGACGAGGGCTGAGTTCTAGAGCTGGGTTGGGTCTCAGAACCAGATGAAGTTCTAGAGATGAACTTGGCCTCAGAGCTGGCTTGGAGTCTAGAGCAGGGCTTGGTCTCGGAACTGGTAAGGGTTCTAGAGGTGACCTCGGTCTCAGAGATGACCTGGGCTCTAGAGGGGGACTGGGTTTCAGATCTGGGCTGGGCTCTGGAGCAGGGTTGGGCTTCAGGAACCAGCCTGCAGGGCTGGGGCAGGGGGCTGGGCTCTGGACTGGGGCTGTGCTCAGCCCCAGAGCAGACTAGCCACAGGCCTCCCTGGCCTCGCCGATGGCTGCCCACACCTCCACCACAAACTCGTCCGGGAAGGCGAACTCGCCCAAGACGGAGTCTAAACGGCGTGCAAACTCCTGAACGCTCACTGTCTTCTTGGACGTCTCCACCATGGTGGACGCTGTGGAGGGGGGGAGGGGAGTGGGTAAGGGTGCTCTGGGGCCCCAACTTCCCCTTGGGACCCTTACCTCCTCCCAGTGGGCTGGCCTCCCCCCAGGGTCCACTGGCTTACCCTGGCCCCTTACCCAGCTCTGGGTCCCGAATGCCCATGTAACTCTCCAGCAGGTCGTCCACCCTCCGAGATGCCTCCTCCTCAAATTCACTGGGCTGAGGGCATAGGGGGACAAAACAGAGGGTCAGAACCCTCCAGCCCAGCCCCCACCCAGGGCCACACCCCTTGGGTGACAGCAGGCTGGGACCTCATGTGTCAAGGCTCCTGTACAACCACTATTGCCCTGTATCACCACAAAAAAACATTTTGCAGGTAGGGAAATTGAGGCTGGGTGAAGGAGGTCTTACCCAATGTCACACCTACTCAGAGGCAGAGCTCTAGGTGTAAGAGCCCCTGAAGACTCCCTCCTCTTCACTCACCACTTCCTCTATTGTGGCAGCCCCCCCAGAACGAAGTCGCAAGGTCTCCCTCCCACTGGTCACTTTTGCTTCCATGGGGCATTTGCTGCTCCGGCTCCTCTGGCTGATCATATCTGGAGGGGACAGAGCGGTGGAAGGGCAAGTGTACTGGATGGATCCACTCTTTGTAAACACTGGGAAACCACCAACTGAGACTTTCTAGCACTTTCTTAGTCTTCAAAGGCCTCCTTATACCCATAGCCTTAAAGCAGCACTTTGAAAGCTCCCAGCCAGGTGACAAAATAGATCTGAACACCTCCTCATCCTCGCCCCATCTTCCCAAACTTCCCCCATCCCCATAGCAGACTATAACAACATAGAAACTACCTATCTGTTCCTGATAACAGTGCCAGATGTTTCCTGTCATGTCACCACAGGCATCTAGAACCTTCCCTCCTGTCCCATCCCCCGCCTTCCACTGTCTCCAGCATCCAGAGAACCCACTTCCCCAAGAGCTCGCCCCGCCCCACCCGCCTGCCCTCAAGGCCACAGGTGGCCCTCACCAAAGGCTCTCTTGGGCTGCACCAGGCGCAGGGTGAAGGGCTGGGCCTTGGGCAGCTCACGGAGCATCTTGGCGACTTCGTAGTGACGGCAGCCAACGATAGAGTGGTCGTTGATGGCCTCAATGCTGTCGCCCACACACACAGCTTCGATCCTGTTGATGATGCTGCCCTCCTTGATCCTCTGCAGGGACACAGAGTCACTCGAGGGGCCACCCGCACAGAACCCACGTAGACCAGAGGGGCAGTGGCTTGCCCCAGGTCATGAAGTACCCTGAAAGATGTCCCTCCCCCACCACGGGCACCTTGATGAAGGCGTATCCAGCCCCGTTGTCCGTGATGGTCAGCCCCAGGGCATCCTCCGTCTTAGTGACCTCCACCTCCTTGGTCTCGCCGCGCACATGTGCAAAGATAAAGTCCTCCAACCCTATCTGACCGCCCAGGAGTTTCTGCATGTCCACTTTGTGGCTGTTTAGGGTGCAGAATAAGATCTGTCCCGAGGGGAGGGGAAGCCCAGAATTAATGGCAGTGCTCATTCCCCACTGTCTGCGCAGAACCACGGGCGAGGGGGGAGGGGGAATGGGCTCATGGGTCTGATAGGGAAACCGAGGCACAAAGAATCATAAAACTGGCCCAGTCATCTGGTGCCCAGCATCTCAGCCCAAAGGATCTTCAGGATGGGTTGGGGGACGAGAAGGAGACAGACCCCCAGAATGAGGAGCAGGGAGAGAAGGAGGCTGTGGGCAGGAAGAAACCTTTCCCACCCCTAGACTTCCAGTTCTAACCCTTTGGTGTCCTGACCCCTCCGCCCACCGTCTTTTTCAGGCGGGTCTACATCCACTGGCGCCCCCTGGGGGCGACACGGCGCACCGCTCTGCAGCCTTGCCTATAACGCAGGCCACCCCGACGTAACGCCAGGAAAGGAGCTGCCTGGAACCCCAGCCTCCAGCCGCACCCAGGAACTAGATGCGCTTCCCTGAGAGCTGGTATCCACCTTAACTGGGTGGGTGAAGTGAGTTCCCGGGCGATCTAGGGCCTCACTAACCCCTTAGACCTGTTCATCTTTTGTGCAGGCCACTCAAAGGAGGCGTCCCCAGGGTATGGACACCACTGGATCTGAGTGTGCATCTCTGAGAACTGGAGATCGGGTCCTCTCCATCTGGGAGTGGCAGATCGGGGCACCCCCAGGCTAGGGGTCCAAGCTCCACCCTTACACCTGGCTCAGCCCGGTGGACCTCGGGCGCTGGGGGTCTGCGGTCCTCACCTCGGTGGGCGCGATCCCGAAGGCCTCGGCGATCTTGGCGTAGAGCTCGCGGACGTTGGTGAAACCCTCGATCTTGCCGGTGGGGCTGCCGTGAGCCAGCTGCGTACGGAAGATGAGGCGCGGGCGGGTGCGGGGCGCCGCCGGGGGCTCAGAGGGCGAGG